GGTGGGTTAGGAAGGACAGCGTGCCAGGCGGTGGTGGGTTAGGAAGGACAGCGTGCCAGGCGGAGGTGGGTTAGGAAGGACAGGGTGCCAGGCGGAGAGCTGCTAGAAGGGCAGAGAGCTGGTAGTCTTGAGCCAATGGCTCAACCCTCTCTGCAGTTTGGGGTGTCGGGTGCCAGAGCCAATGTCAATGAGTGTGAAAGTGAATGAACCTCCTCATCCTGTGGCCCAGCGCAAAGGTTTTGCTGCTGCTGGCAGGGATGGCTGGGCTGCTGGCATAGGGCTGTGCGTGAACATTTCCTCTGGTGCTGCTCAGGATGGAGGGCCTGCCACTGCCCCGGGCCTGGCCCGGGTTAAGCACATTCATATTGGAGCCCCAGGTCAGGCTGGGCTGTGGGATCTAGTGCTGGGAGCGGCTCTTACACTGTTATCTCCTTGTGTTGTTCCCCAGGGCTGCACGACCTGCTCTTCGGCATGTAAGTGTCCTGGGACAGCCATCCCCCTCCCTCAGCTGTGACCAGACATCCTCGCCCCCCACGCCGATCACCCCCGGCCACCTTCCCCTCCCGGGACTACCCCGCTGATCATGCTCTTATCCCCGAGCTGCCTCAGGGGTAGCTCTGAGAGCTCGGGGCACTATGGTGCCCGACGCTGGACCCCCAGGGGCTCAAGACGTGGCGCTCCAGGCCAGACCCTCAAAGGTGCTTAGGCTCCAAACTTGCACTGAAATCAATGGACCTGCTCCCAAGAGCCAAAAGCCAGGCCAGACAAACAGATCTGGACAAACAGCGCGTCACGAGGGCAGCCCCAGTCCTGCCCAGCGTTCCCTTGGCATCACCCCCCCCCCCCCCCCCTCCCCCTCGCTCAATTTGCCTTTCCTCCCCCCACCCCCCTGCTGGCCAGACGCTCCCTTCACGCACGTCTGGGGGCTTGTTTCCAGGGCTCTCTAGGTCCGCCCCAGCACCCGTCTCCATGCGCAGTTCCCCCCCATGGACCCCTGGCGCCTGCTGGGCGGTCTGTGAGGAACGGTTTTAGGGACATTCCCCCCCTTGTCCCCAGGGCTGGCCCAGAGGCTCACGAGCACATCAGCACTCCGGAAGACGCTGAGACGGCCGCAGGCGTGGCAGAGGCTGAGACGGGCGGGGAGCTTGGGGGCACATCCCCCACATCCCCCCCGGTCGGGGAAGCAGCAGCAGGTAACTGGGGCGCAAGTGCAGCTGATACGACAGTGAGGGGCCCAGCTAAGCACATAAGCTAGCCTGCATTTGAGGGTAAGCCTGCCTAAGGTGCAGCCTGTCACGTAAATCATTGGTCATCACTGCTGGTGCTTGGCGCTGGCTGGCCCCGGCTGAGGCGGCAGAATGTGCCAGCAGTGGGCAGCTATGTAATAATCTGTCCTGACCTTTCTTCCTGACCCTGCGAATGACTGACTGGCTTGTGCCCTGGAGCATGAGGGTTTATCTCCCTTGTTTATGGCAGCAGTGCGCAGGCCTACTGTGCGGGGCGGGGGGGCAGGGGCAGTTAGGGCGGGCTAGGGGTGTTCCTGGAGGACCCTGGTGTGCTTACAGTGCTCACCCAGGGCCATTTGCTGTCTGGAGCTCTCAGTGATTTGCTGTGTGTCTCTCCCTTTTGCAGAGTGTCACCCAGAGCCCCCTGCATCCACCCAGGAGGCTCCCCCAGCTCCAGATCTTGCTGATGACGACCCTCCGGTCAATGTCACAATCACAGTGACTGCGACATCGTGAATCCCAGCCGGCCCCCATCAGACCCATTCAGCACCCCTGCCCCGCAAGAAGGGCAGCGGTCGGGGGAGGGGAAGGGGATCTGGCATTTACAGGGCCCCCGTGCAGGGAGTGGCATTGCCAGACTGTTAGGGGGCGACTGAGAAGAAAACGGCCCCTGGGTACAATGCCCCAGAGGGCAGGAGCCAACGTACCAACGCACGGCCTGGAAGGAGGGTTCGCCATGGGGCTTGGAATCCGCTGGGGTTTTGGCCCTTTCTCCCCCTCCCCCGCCCCATAGCGATTAGCAGGGTGGCGCTTTCCCGTGCGGCTTAACTCGCTCCTCTGTGCCCAGCGCTGAGTTCTGCAGGCGGGACAGAGCCCGGGGAGCCGGCCGGCTGGCGACTTGCAATCGCTGCTCCCCTCTCTGGGAGCGCCGGTGCCGGTAATAGTCGACGGCCCTGCTGACACAAGGGAGCGGGTTCGGCTGGAGTGACCAGGAGCAGCAGCCTTGTCTGCGTTAGCTGGAGATGGCCACACGCCGGCCTCCCAGCCTTGTTCGGAGCCAGGATACGGAGCACAGCAGCGGGTGCACCTTAGCCCCACCTCCTGGCTCTGCTGCCTGGGTGAGGGGCTGCGAGGGCCCTGGCTGGATTCGGTTAGGGGGCTCCATGGGGAGCCAGGATAGCCGAGGAAAAGCCCAGGTCCTTTGTGTGAGCCAGGCAGGGGTTGGAGCCCCCTCGTCCCCTGCTGGCCCTGACAGACTCTTGGCAGGCCTGGTGGAAGCCGAGGGGCACAGGGTCCTGGCAGAGCGCTGCCCTGCGCCCCTGGGACTGGGACCCAGGCCCTCTGGGGAACTGCGCAGCAGCCCGAGGCAGGCCGGGGCTGAGCCCCGGGAGGACCAAACCCTCTGCGTGCCGCCCCTAGAGCAAGGCTTTTTATTGACGGGACACACATGCTGCAAACAAGGGGATGTGGGGCCCCGGGCTGGATTGGGGCCCCGGGCTGGATTGGGGCCCCTGCAGCAAGGCACAATCCCCTGCGAGCAACTCCTTCACGGCTCGGCCCACAGCTTGGGCTGGATGGGCAGCAGGGAGGGTGCTGAGCCTCGCCCCAAATCTGCCCACTTACTTAGGTGTCTAAGCTGAGCTCTGGTGCAAATCTGGAGGCTGGGCTATACCCCAGCCGGAGGCCTGGCTGCCTTAAAGGCACAGTACTAAATTCCCCTGCCAAGGCCTTACATCGCCAACCTCCCACGTTAAGCTGTATAGTCACTGAACCGGCCAGTGGGAGGCAGGGTGATGAGGGGCTTCCCGTGCCCAAGGGACTGTGTCTAGGGCACTTGTTTTATTGCCTCGCCTGCAGTGGCGGCAGCTCAGGGGCAGAGCCCGGCAGCACCGACGAACAGGGCCTTTCCTAAGATCCAACTCTGGGGGCGTTGTAAGTGCCAAGGGAGTGAGGCGCACAAGCCCCATGGAGAGTCACTGGGGATTATGCGCCTAAACCATTTGCGCCAGCTTCACAAAGGTGTAGATTTCTGTAGTAATTGACGTACTTTTCAGGAGCTGGGCCTTAGTTCTTTGGACCGCCCCACCCCGGGGGGCTTCACCCCTCTCAGGCGCTGCAGCCACCAGTCTCTCGGCAAGAGCTCGCCGGCACCAGACTCTGCCAGGATCCCCGAGGCCTGGCTGGCTAAGGCCTGCGCCACACACAGCGTTTGCCCTGATATAACTGTCTGTGGGGGGAGAGGGAGGTGTTATTTGTTTTACCCATAGCCTTATCTCGATACACCCCCTAGTCTGGACACAGTTATATGGCTCTGAAATGCCGTGTGCGGGGGTAGCTTATCTTGCTTGCCCAACTGGCATACGCTGGACCGGTATAAGCACTGGGTTATACACCTTAACTCTCCTGGTGTAGCTAAAGTGGCCAAACCGTCTAGTGTAGCCAGCCCTTAGATAGCAAGCCCCCGGGTATTTCTTGGCTTTCCCATTCTTTTAACAGCCCACCCTCCCAGCCTCCTTTGGCCAGCAGAAAGCTGCAGAAAAGTCCCCCCGTGTCTTTCCCATTCACCCGCTGCAGTCAGGCCATGCATTCAGTAATAAAGAGGTAGCTCATCAATCGCACGTTCCCGCATCCTCAGTCCAAGCCTTAGATGCTCTTGTTAGTCAGCACCTTCCAGCCAGACCCTCAGAGGGTGTCTCAGAGGAAGGACAGGAGCATTATCCCTGTTGACATATGGGGAAACTGAGTCACAGAGAGGCATATTGACTTCCCCAAGGCCACACCAGGAATCAGTATGTGAGCTGGGACTCGGGGAGGGATAGCTCAGTGGTTTGAGCATTGACCTGCTAAACCCAGGGTTCTAAGCTCAATCCTTGAGGGGGCCATTTAAGGATCTGGGGCAAAAATCTGTCTGGGGATTGGGCCTGCTTTGAGCAGGGGGTTGGACTAGGTGACCTCCTGAGGTCCCTTCCAACCCTGATATTCTCTGACTAGAAACCACAGTCCTTGATTATCCCCCTTTTTGGTAGGCCATGCTGCCTTCTTTCCTCCACACACTCTAACCTGTTAGCCTGAAATCCCACACTGTTAACAGGTGCTGACCCTGCTGGGAAAGGGATAAGTGAGTTCTACTGCCTCATCCCCATCAGTGACTAGTTACCTACCCAGGGTATCAGGGAGGTGGGAGTGGCTTGCTGGGGGGAGAGGATCTGGGGTGTGGGCTGAGCAGTCCGGTGGGAGGAGCCCAATGAGCAGCCCAGCCTAGGGAGAAGGGTTGAGCTGAGCTTTGGGATTGTAGTGTTAATTTGTTTGTGTTAATAAAGCCAAACCCCGAGAGGGGTGAGTCTGGACTCTGCAGTGTGAGGCCAGCGTCTTGAGAGCAGATCGGGCGGGTCTGACACCTGCTCCTGTGTGGTGCGTGCGTTGGGATTTAACCCTCTCTGCCAAAGAGGCACAAAGCTGGGAAGAGGGAGCGTGGAATGGAAGCTGGGCTGGAATGGCTGATGGAACAGGCCCAGGAGGTAGCCCAAGAGACCCAGTAGCGGCCACTCCAGACATTTATTAACACATAGACCAGCTGGGCTGCCTCCAGTGCAGACTCCCCAGGCCCCTTCATGCTGGTACCACTGGGCCCAGTGGGAGGAGTCTGTCCATTGGCCCTGGGGGATGCGCTGGCAGGTAAAGCCCTGCCCATTCACCAGCTGGAGGCCGGCATTTCACACACAGGGCTCCTGGCTCTCCCCCCACCCGGCGTGAGTGCTGTGGCCAGGGTTCAAGGACGACCCAGGCTGAGGAGAAAACCAAAGGGGCCCCAGGGCTGCAGGTGGGAGCTGGGGGAGCTCTCAGGGGAGCCGCCGCTCTGTTTGGTCAGGGAAATGGGTGTAAAAGCAAGCGTGGAGACACCTGGCCTCGCTGAGGCCCTGGCCCAGACTAGGGGGAGCCACCAGCCCCACCCGCTCATGCTCGGCTCTAGTCTGGTGGTGGCTGCCAGCTGCAAGCCCCTTGGTGGGCATCACCTGCACCAGAAATGACCTACAGATGTGTCCCTGTGAGATGGGTCTGCCCAGTCCTTACACTGAGCCCCGTGCAGCAAGGCCCAGGCGAGGGCTGCAAACTAGCTCTCAGCATGCAGGTGGGCACAGCCTCCCAAGACGATGCTACAATGGCTTTACAATGCCATTCTAGCAGGAGGCGCACCAGCCTTTTCCTGCTGTCCCCAGGGATGCTCCCACCTCCACTTCTCCCAAGAGCCTTGTGGTGCTGGCGACCTGGCCCAGTCAATGGGCTCCAAGCACTTTACCAAAGTGGGTATCATTATCCCATCTAACAGGTGGGGAAACTGAGGCCCAGCAAAGCAGTGACTGGGCCCGGCTCACACGCTGATGCTGCATCCGAGCCAGGACAGCGACTGCCAGGCAATTGTACGAATAGTCTCAGGCACGGAAGCTTACATGTTACCCAATGAGAATTTGTGCCGGAGATGCTTGTGTGCTCCACCAGTCAGGCACCAGCCTCCGTGACCAATCAGCTCGTTGACAGCGTGAATCTCCAATACACACCAAGGTCAAAGCAGAGAGGTTTTTAAAAACGTCCAATGCTTTTACCCAGCCAATCCCAAGGTGTAACAGGGATCGGCTCTGGGCTATACTGCCCGCAGAGAAAGAAGCTGTTTGTCCCACGACCCCTTGGGTCCAAAGAATTCACTGGACCATAAGGAAAATATATGGGGCGAGATGGTTTTCTGTGAATTCCTCAGCAATTTTCCCCAATCCTAAAAGCAGCTGGGTGAATCAACAGCTCCCTTTCCAGACAGCAGCCCCCCCCCCCCCCCGCCCCCCTCGCAACCGCCCTGTGCATTCGGCCCTACCCATCCAGCGGCCTGCCTACGTGAGGAAGCTTTGCTGCCTTCGCTAGCCTGGGCTAGTCCCAGTGTTCAAACTCCCTCCCGGGGAGGCAGGTCAATTGGGCTAACGGTGTTAACAGTGGACTGGTGACTCCTGTACAGGAGGGGGCATAACCTGTAGCCGGTTAAAGCACATTTCTACTGGCATCACTGATGCAGTAAAATAGTCACAGCCCTGCCCCCACATAGTTCTACCAGTAAAACCCAGCTAGGGCCCTAGCGCAGACGGACGCCGCTGTGGTTTGCCCGGGGGCAGTTTATTCTGGTTCCTGGGCTGGGGTGGGGGTGGGGGGTGAGACAGGGCTGCACTACGGTTTGCAGCGGGGACTTGTCACTCATGTCTGCAAGCCCTACGGTAGCCCAGGTGTAAACGGGAACTAGCCCAGGGCAAAGGAGGGTTGTTGGTACCGGAAAAAGGGCTCGGGCAGCGGCCGGGCGAGTTTCCATTCCAAGTGGGGAGTCAAGGCTGTTTGCCCACTAGGAGAAGCCAACCCAGCCCACGACGACCACTGATGCTTGACCAGACATGCGACCCTCGGGCCCTGTCGCTGTCGCGCCACTCCCACAATGCTGCTCCGCCGGCCATCGCACCCCGCAACCCAGGGGGCTTCCCCAG